ATGGTGGATGTTCGTCCTGTTGCTTGGTGGCATTGCTTTTTCTTTTCTTTTGTTTTTTTCCCTGAACAACCTCATTCAAATGAACATGTTTTTAATCAACGTATCATTCTTTAATTTTTTTATATACCAGTTGATTGTTTTGTTTCTGTTTTTTTGGTATGGCCTTTCTTTATGCCCGTTTTTTGTGCACAAATGTGTCACATCTTGGGGGTGGGGGAGAGAATCCCAAATTCTTGGAACCGGTAAGTTTCAGCTCGCCGTATAACGGGCGTATAAGACGGCCCACGATTTTTGGAATGATTTTTATAGGCTAAAAAGTCATCTTATACGCTGGAAAATACGGTATCCTGTAAATTCTTTTTCTGAGGTGCTTTAAAGACTTGTGTTGCAGTTTCTACCTTGCACGCATCTCTTCCACCATCTGGAAAACCAGCACACAGCATGGAACTCTGTCCTGGGGGCAAATTTAAAGTTTTCAGCACTTCACTGCAGGTTATGCTGTCAATGATGGGAAGCTCCACTTCCTGTAGGACGTTTGACAGGGGCCCATCTGCAATAATAATAATAACAACAACAACAATAACAATGATAACAACTCTTCAAGAATCTCAGAACAGGAAAACTCTCTTCAAATCAAGCCAATAATTTGCATATGCTATCAAACTGGGATGTGATTTAGCTTCTTTTTTTAGAACTACTCCAACCATCATTTTAAAAAAGCCCTCATTGTACTGGAGAATTGTATGAAAGCTATTTCATAGTTGATATAAATCCTAAATTCACTTAGTAGCAAAATTTTGCCATTACCTTAGTGACAACAATTTTCCATGCAAAAGCCACCACCAATGGACAACATAACCCCTGTTAATCCTGCTTACATTTTAAAATTTGTTTAATTTGTTATTAAATTGTTTGTGTGGGATCTTGAGTGCTCTCTGAGCTTGGTTGTTTTCCTGAAGACATTTGATTACCATACTAAGTAACTTCATCAGTGCTAGTAGGGAATGGGATTTGCTCTCATTTTATATACTAACGGCTTGCTCTATCAGTGTTGGTGAGTGTGGTCTTGGTGGTCTTTTGACTGGGGTGTTGTTTACTATTAGTTTGTTAATTTGTTAATTGGGTATTATTTGCTTCTTGTTTGTGTAATGTTAATCTTGGTGCTAATTTCTGCTTTTCTGAGTGTTGATTGCTGGTGAGGAGATATTATGCTCCTTTTGTTTTCTTTCTGTGGTTTTTTTATTGTCTCTTTCGGATTGTACTCGTGTACTTTTAATACATTTCATTATACACCATATTTAATTTATCTTATTGGATTTTTGGTTGATAACTATAATAAAGTTTTGATCTGATGTGCTCGGACTTGGTTTGTGGATCAATCATCCACACACTGATTGGGTTCATACAATATGCCAAATAAAACTAAACAAGTGAAAATATTGTGATGCTGAAACGCAGACAACATCTTTGCATTCAAAATGGTTTCTTAATATAGCAATTAAGTAACCCAAAGAAAGGGTGATAGGGAACATTAATTTTATTTATTTATTCATTTATTCAGACTATACCGCTGCCCACTCATGTGCAACTCTGACTGGCTCACAATTTTTTTTAAAAAAAAAGATAAAAAGGAAGCAGCATATTTCACCCAAGTTATAACACTTTACAAAAGAAAATAAAGGTGGCTTCCTTGACATCCTGTCCTAATGCCTGGAGCCATCCTACTTTTGTGGGTTATATTGTTCCATGGGGCAGGGGGTAATATTCAGGCAGCAAACCATCCAATTTTAAGTTTTTATTAAAAATATATTTTAAAAATTATATCAAACATCTTAATATAAAATTTGATGCCCTAAAATTGTCACTGTAGGTGGAAGAAACACCTACCACAATAGAAAAAGAAAGGAAGAGAGGAGGAGAGGAAGAGGATGGAAGGAAGGAAGAGGTGAAGAGAGGAAGATGGAAGGAGAGAGGGTAAGAAGAAGAGAGGAGTAGGGGAGAGGTAAGGGAAGAAGGAAGGGAAAGGCGAGAGGAAGGAAGAAAGTAGAGAAGGGAGGGAGAAAAGAAAGGGGAGTCAAAACAGGCGAGAGATGGTAAACAAAGCAAATGAAACAGTATGTTATAACCAGGGTGGGTTCCTGCCAGTTCTAACCTCTTCTATAGAAGAGGTTCCACAAATCTACCGTGCCATTTAGAACTGGTTCTAGCTCCCTCCCTCTGCCCGTCCGCACCACGCTTGCCCCGCCCGCCACTCACTGATTGGCTGGCTCACCAATCACCCCGCCCGCCTCTAAGAGTCCTATCTAAACCTTAAAGTCTTATAGCTGTCAAGTTTGAGCACCCTGAGGGATTTCTTTTCTACAGCGTTAGGGGTGCAAGGGCCTTGTAACTTGACAGGTTTAAGATTTGCATGCTTCAATGCCAGAGTTCCTGAGTCAACATGACTGGAGGAGGAATTCTGGGAGTTGAAGTCCGCAAATCTTAAAGCTGTCAAGTTTGAACACCTGTGGGGTTTTTTTTCGGAAAGGGTTAGGGGCGCAAGGGTCTTGTAACTTGACAGCTTTAAGACTTGCGTGCTTCAAATGCCAGAGTTCCTGAGCCAACATTTTGGTTGCTAAGCAAGAGCGTTGTTAAGTGAGTTTCACCACATTTTACAAGTTGGCCACGTCCACCCAGTCACATGACTGCCAATCCACTCCCACCCAGTCACACGGCCAGCAAGCCACTCCCACAAAGCAGGCCACACTTACAGAAGAGGTTCTAAAAAAATTTGAAAACCCACCATTGGTTATAACCCTGTAAATGGAATGACAAATGTATAAGAACGACGAATGTAAAAAAGAATAATAACTATGTGAATGTATACCTATAATTATATATAGAGAGAACAAAAATAAAAATGTACATTTTAGATTATGATTTTTTTAAATAATGGAAGTAACAGGAAAATGATAACAGGAAAATCTCTGTGTTTCAAAATGGTAATTAAGAGGTAGCAAGTTCATGCATCTTAAGGCACTTTTTCTACTGTTCCAACACAGATCTATCTCAATGAACTTTTCCATTAGTCCTGAAGTCGGTGTACTTTTAACCTTGGCAATTTTGAGATGTGTGGATTTCAACTCCCAGAATTCCACAGGCAGCTCTCCAGTTGACTGGGGAATTCTGAGAATTGAAGTCCAGACATCTCAAAGTTGCTAAGGCTGAAAAACATTGCCCCTCCCCTCCCCAAAAGGGTTTTACAAATCTGCCGGCTCTCTCAGTTCATACATCTAGTCTACTTATGCATCCACCTCAAGATAGGGCTATGATGGTGAACCTATGGCACATGTGCCACAGGTGGCACGCAGAACCCTCTCTGTGAGCATGTGAGCTGTTGCCTCAACTCAGCTCAGTTGCCCCGTGCATGCACATGCACCTCCCACCAACCAGCTGGTTTTTGGGTCTCTGCAACTCAGGCATGGGTGGTCGGGGTGCATGCAGGTGATGTGCACGCATGCATAGGGAGGAGGAGTGCATGCGGGGATGTTGTCCGCATTGCATTATGGGTGGGTGGATGCACACTTTCAGCACTCGGTGCCAAAAGGGTTAGCCATCACTGAGATAGGGTATATTAAGATTACCCAGCCAAATCACTCCATCCTCCTGGTTAAAGCAGCCAATGCCAAAGTCATTCCTCTGACTTTCTTCGAGGTTAAATGTCTAGAGCAGGGCAGTGGTGGATTTCAAAAATTGTTTGAACCTACTCTGTGGGTGTGGCCTCCTTTGTGGGAGTGGCTTGCCGCCCATGTGACCGGATATGAAGATG